ATATTTAATTAAAAAATTAAAAAACCAAACAACCAAAATATTCACCTAAGAGGTGCCTGCATCCACTATCATGGAGGGGAAAACTCCCTTCCTAGGGGACCATGGGTAGTTGCCAGTAGTAGAAACTTGCTGGCACCATCCCCCTTCCCTTTCCTCTCCCTTCCTGTTAGGAATGTGATGGCTGGAGATTCAGCAGCCACCTTGCAATCATGAGGGAGTGGCAAGGAGAACCATACAGGTGTTGGCACTGAGACCTTGAGCCACTGAACTAAGTGCCAATCACAGCTACCTCCAGATTTCTCGTCACCTGAGGAAAGGAAATCTCTACTAGTTTAATCTGCTGTTTGATGGATACGATGTTATTGTCACCAAAACATTCCTAGCTGAGCTCCCACCTCCATCCTAAGCACCTCAGGAATGTGGAGGAGCCCCCCGTGGCCTACATCAATCCAGAAAGGCTTCAAGGAGGAGGTGGACTATGAGCTAAGCCTGGAAGAATGGACTAAACTTAATGAAATGACCAAAAAGAGGAAGGTATTCCAGAAGCGGGGAATTACACAGTGAAAGAGCTGGAAAAAGGAATGAGCCTGCTGACAGTAAGGAGATGGCTTGAGGCCAGGCGCTAGGAGAGTGGAAATGGAAATGTCACTATAGATAAGGAGAAAAATTCAGACAGCTGATGGAAGATCAAAACGTCCAGTGAATTCTACTGAGACTTAGGGGAAGGGGCATCCCTGTGGCCAGGACCGTGCAGAGACTCCTGGGGGAAAGTGAGGCTAGCTTGAACACCGAGAACAAAATTTCCACTTGTGACAGGAAACTGGATGGGGAGCAAGAAGGCAGAGGAGCCCTGATGGTTTGTTCACTGTGCTGGAGAAGGCAGTGTCTGCAGAGGGCGTTGTTGCTCTGGAATGTTCCCAAGTTGGCTGGTCACATCTGTTTAACCCCTTCCTGGGCAAGGCCACATTTCCTAGAGAGGTGCTAGATTAGAAGCAAATCTAGCAGAGAAATTCCCAACCTGTATGGGAGGCTGGGGAGGAGGCAGCGTTTGCTTCATACAAGCATGTTTGTGCTTCAGAGAGATTCCTCTAACTCAGGCTGAAGCACGAAGCTCTCAGGGCTGAGAACCATGTCCATGAACTGGGTGTGAGAAAAACAGTGAACGGGGCGGGGGGGGAGGAGACCCCGAGGGGGCAGGGGCACCCCAGCAATGCCTGGTGGCTGCCATGCCGGAAGTCAGCCCAGTGTTGTCAGATCTTCCAGTTTTTTAAGGGAATCTGTATTTTATGGGGCATTATCTGGTTTTTAAACGCTAGTCTCATTTTTTTTTTTTTTTTTTGAGACAGAGTCTCACTCTGTTGCCCAGGCTAGAGTGCCGTGGCATCAGCCTAGCTCACAGCAACCTCAAACTCCTGGGCTCAAGCGATCCTCCTGCCTCAGCCTCCCGAGTAGCTGGGACTACAGGCATGTGCCATCATGCCCGGCTAATTTTTTATATATATTTTTAGTTGTCCCGCTAATTTCTTTCTATTTTTTAATAGAGACAGGGTCTCGCTTTTGCTCAGGCTGGTCTCGAACTCCTGAGCTCAAGCGATCCTCCTGCCTTGGCCTCCCAGAGTGCTGGTTTTAACTTCTAATATGGCAAATGTAGAACAAACAAACAGAAGCTCTTTGGGGACCCTCAATAATTTTTAAGAGTTTAAAGGGGACCCTGAGACCAGAAAGTTTGGGGAGCATTAATCTTTCCTGTGAGCTTGGCTGGGAGACCTGTGCTGAGGCTTCAGACGCTTCCTTGGAGCTTAGCAGAGGAGAGCATGGTGACCACTGGTGACCAGCCACCTGTGCCGCCAGTCCGTCCCCTCTGCCCCAGGAGAACACAGGCTAAGGCCGGGTGGGGCGAGGGCCAGGCCGGCCCTGCAGCGACTCACCGCTCCTTCCGCAGCAGCTCCTGGCTGAGGAGGACCAGCTGGCCCGAGGCGTCGTGGGTCTTCCGGGACACGGCCTCCAGCTCGGCCTCCAGGCGCCGCTTCTCCTTGAGGAGGGCGTCCACCTTCTTCTCTCCCGACTTGCACTTGCTCTCCAGCGCTGGGGTGGGCGGGCAGGGACGGGAGGGAGAGGGTTGGGAACATTTGGGAACCTGTCCTACCCGAGGGCCAAGGCCCCAGCAGGGCACTGATTTTCCCGGGGGATGACAGCGATCTATTCCGCTGCGTAGTTTTAAAAGCTTTATGGGTCTCTGTCCCTCTCAGAGGCAGGCAGCAGGGGGCCCGAGAGAACAGCTGCCAGGGCAGAGCAGGCCCCTGAGGCATGGCAGCGAGGCCCTCTGGTGTGGGGAACAGCCCCCCTTCCTGGAGGACATCATGTTTACACCGTTGTCCCGACAAGGAAGAGCTACGTCTTCTCCTTGGCCTCGAGGACTGTGAGGTCCACTGACCTCTGTCAGGACCGATTATGCCACGTGAATGCAGAGGGGCTGGACCGGGGTGGGGTGTCACATCCCAGGAGAGGCCGTCTCATGGCCGCCACGGCTGGCCTTCTTGCCACAGAGTCACAAGTCCAGACCCCTGCCTCTCCCCAGGGTCCCCCCCCTTGTGTCTTGCCCTTGGCCGTGGCCGGCGTCCTTCCCCCCATTCTGAAATCAGCCCTGGTGTTTCTTCTAGGGGCTGGGGGCAGAGGGACTGTATCAAGGTGGCCTGTGAGAAACCAGGAAGTCGTCAAGACCAGAAAGAGGGCGCCAGTGATGGAACTTCAGGACATGGGGCACATGCAGCTGGCCCTGGGGCGAGAAGCCAGCTGGGGGCCCCGATGATACGATGGACTGCGTGGGGATGGCTACTTCCCACTCTCGGCCACCCAGTCGCATGTCCGGTGCAGGGGACCTAGCCCAGGCAGCTTCCTTCTCAAAGCCGAGTTGGGGAGGGTCCCCTGACCCAGGTGCCGACCCACTCCACGCTCGCCTGGCACGCTGGGCCGGCGTGGCCCCCACAAAAGCCCCCGCATCTGCCCTGCAGGAGGGAGACTTACCACTTACTTGGGCCCTGAGCATCTCGGTCTGGGACGTCAAGGCTGTCACCTCTTTGTCCCTCTTGTTCAGCTTGTCCTGCAGGCCTAGGGGAGAAGGGAGAGGTGAGACGCACCCCTGCTCCAGGACCGATGGTGCGGGCCACTGGGCAAGGGGGTGGCCCTCCCACAGGAACCCTAAGACGGGGCCACACGTGGCCTCCATGGTCCCAGTTCTCCCTCACACCAGCCATCTCTCTGGGGGACCCACTCTAAGAAGAGGATCCGACACTGTGGTCTTGGTAACTTGTCACAGCTTTGGTTTCCTCAAGTGAAAACCGGGGATAATAATGGTGCCCAGGTCACTAGTCACATGTACACAACCCTGGGCCCTCCCAGTGGCCATGAAGGAGAGAACACATGCAAAGTGCTTGGTATTTTTATTATTATTTTTCATTAAAAATTTTTAAATATTTTTTAGAGACAAGGTCTCACTCTGTCGCCCGGACTGGAGCACAGTGGTGTCATCACAGCTCACTGCAGCCTCCAACTCCTGGGCTCAGGCGATCCTCCTGCCTCAGCCTCCCGAGTAGCTGGGACTACAGGCACATGCTGCCGCGCCCGGCTAATTCTTTAAATTTTTTGTAAAGATGGTATCTTGCTATGTTGACCAGCCTGGTCTCGAACTGCAAGTTAATTTGTAAATGTAATACTAATAAACATAGCAACAAGATTTTAATTTTTGTGGAATTGTATAAGCCAATTCTAAAATCACTCAGAAAAATAAGAATACCCAAGAGACTTCTACGGTTCCTCAAAAAATGAGACACAGAACTGCCAGGCGGCCTAGTGCTCTGCTCCCGGGTACATCCCCAAGGACGTGAAAACAGGTGTGACAGGTACGTGCACACCCATGCGCATGGCAGCATCACTCACAACAGCCAAAAGGCAGAAACAACCCGCAAGTCCGTCAGCAGATGAGTGGATCAGCAAAGCGTGGTCCGTCCACACAGTGGAGTATTATTTGGCCATAAAAAGGAACCAAGTGCTAACACCTAGGTTACTGGATGGGCCGTGAAAGCATTATGCCAAGTGAGAGATATTAGACACGAAAGGTTGCGTATTGTGTCATTCCATTTGCATTAAATGTCCAGAACAGGCAAAGCTGTGGAGATAGAAAGTAAATGAGTGGTTGTCCTGGGTTTGGGGGAGGGGAGGACAGAGCAGTACTTCTAATGGGCACGGGGTCTCCTTTTGGGGTCATGGGGATCTTTTGGAACCAGACAGGTGGTGGCTGCACACTGTGAATGTATTAAACGCCACTGAATTGTTCACTTTAAAATGGTGGATTTTGTTACGTTAATTTCATCTTAATTTTCAAACAGAATAGCCAAGGCTGGGCGCAGTGGCTCATGCCTGTAATCCTAGCACTTTGGGAGGCCAGGGTGGGAGGATCGCTTGAGGCCAGGAGTTCAAGACCAGCCTGAGCAACATAGTGAGACCCCATCTCTACAAAAAGTAAAAACATTAGCCGGGCATGACGGTACATGCCTGTAGTCTCAACTACATGGGAGGCTGAGACAGGAAGATCGCTTGAGCCCAGGAGTTCATGACCAGTCTGGGCAACATAGCGAGACCCCATCTCTGGAAAAAAAAAAGTCAAAAGACAAACCAGAAAGCGGAAAAAATGTTTGCGGTGTCATATATAAAGAGCTAAGAATCAGCAGAAAGATCAATGACTCAATCAGAAAAAACGGGCAAAGGACACAGCAGAAATGAAAATGGAAATGGAAATGGAAATATCTCTTAACTTCATTCACGTAAGAGAAAGGTGAGCTGACACCTTTAACATCTCACAAAGTCTGATGAGACACTTTGTTAGTGAGATTTGTGGGGACACGTGCTGGCAACCCCAGATGGCCCAACCGGCCGAGCCAGCGCAGGGCACGGCTGTGCTGCAGCCACGTTTCTACCGGACCAGGGCTGAAGACGACCGTTAGTGGGAAACCGGCTAACCACATGGTGACAGTCCCTCCACGTGAGGGGACAGCCCGCACCACGTAAAACACGTGCTACTGACAGGCAAGTCTCCAACATCCTCGTTCAGCGTAAGTGCGGGCGGTAAAGCGTCATTTGCGTCATCTTGTTGCTTATACGTGCATAGACTGTTTCTGGAAAGCGGATATGAAATGGCTAACACTGCGCCTTCCGGGAGGGATAGGGAGCACTTTGCCACGTGCCCTTAGGACCACCTGAAGTTTACATCTGCTTTTAGAAATAAAGTTTGGACCATACGAATAATAAAGTACTTAGCACGATGCCCGGCACCTGCCACACCGAGCTGCCGCCCTCCTCGCCCGGAGGTGCACGCACACAGGAGGCCATTGGGATGCAGGACAATGGGACCAGCTGGGAGGCAGAACCGGCCAGCCTCTCCCCAGAGCCCAGGGCCCGCCCCGCCCGGTGGCCACTCACCCTCCAGAGTCTCCTTCGTCCTGATCTTCTCCTCTGAGATGTCGTTCGACTCAATCACCTGGAAGAAGAGCCCCTGTGAGGGGGACGCCCGCCTCCCCCGCTCAGCCCTCGCAGGCCCAGCAAGCGCACCTGCAGTGTCCACACCTCTCCCCGACAAAGGGGGCCTGGGCGACAGACTCAGGGACTTGACGCCGTGGCAGGGAGTGCAACGTCTTTGGCCCGACCCCACTGATGACAGAGGAGCCCTGCTCTGCTCCCAGCTCCCTTGAAGGCTGCTTGTGCAGCTTCTGGGTGAATAAATACCTCCCGCCCCTTCCTTTGTTGAAAACGCTCATTACATTAAGCAGATGTCTCCTTCCCTGGGACACCTACAGAGACTTGTCCTGGGAAATCTCTTTCCCTGTCTCCCAGAGACAAGACTCCTGGCCTCGGTTTCCCATCCACAAAGAGAGTATGGGCTGCCGACGGCCAGTGTGTGCACAGCGTGCCTGGGGCCACCTCCTGGGGGGGACTTCAATAAATGCTAGTTCCTTTTTCTCCAACACTTCTTTTTAATAATAAACCCAGAAGCCGAAGAAGAAAGAACTGATTAAAAAAGGAAAACTCAGCCTGGCAAGCAGCACCATGAGAAAAGTCAAAAGAACCAACAGGCTCCCAGCTGCTGCTTGGCTGAAGTTTCCAGTCTCCTGCCCAAGCTGGTTGTCCTCTGTGCCTGTGGTCTGCTAGAGTCTAACACTTCGGCTCGAGACAGCACAGGGCTGAGCAGGCACCTCCATTATTCTGTCCCTCATACTTCCGTTCATATGTCCCAAGCTCCATTTTAGTCTCAATTAGTTGTGGTTAACTAATGCCCATGGATTGTGACTTATACATGTTGCAGTGAGGATGAAGCATGCACTAAAAAAAAATGTATTTTTAAATTCCCATATTTACTACATGAGACCAAAAATCCAGTTGTCCCTGGAACTAAACTTCTGAATCTGGGGGACATAAGGGTCAGACTGAGGCCCCAGTGTGTGTGGAAAATCTAGAGATGGGCCTTCCTAAGGCCACCGCCACTCCTTGGCCCCAGAGCCCATCCAGGCCTCTTGTCCCCCAGGCTCTCTAGAACCACAGCAGCCAAAACCTCCCCTGCTAAGGAGACCCGCCTGTTTCCACCTGCCCCGAGCAGTGAGTAGGCCATACATAGGCGCCAGCTCATTTGGTTTCTTCCTTTTCCTTCTGCCCTCTCCTGGGAGAGCACTTGCTACAAAATGTCCCTCCGTGGGAGATGGGGGTGGGACGGCTGCTGCAGGGGACCCAAAGCCCGATGCCGGCAGACCTCCGTTTACACGAAAGGGCTCCCTAGACTCAGACTCCCGGAAATGCATTACCCACGTGCCAAATTCTGGTTTAAATGTACATGGGGGAACTGCAACCTCAAAAACCCCTGGGGGTGCCTTGTACACAGCAAGCTGCTAGCTGTCCCTGCTTCTAAGAGGTGATTGCTGTCGTCCTAAGCACCCTCCATCGGCCCCGCAGGCAGTGGGGTTGGACACCTCTGTTGCTAATGGGCTGGGGACCTGGGAAAGTTACTCCATCTTGGTGACTTGGTTTGCTCACCTGTGAAATGGAGCCAATGGAGTAGTGTAGGGCCTGGCATGAGATGTGGTGCCCAGAGCCATCCAAAGGCCCATTCTGGCCCCATTGGAGCAGACACAGCCCAGGCTACCCCAGTGCCGGCCTCCTCGGAGGGGCTGGGGGAGAAGCATGCTCAGATGCAGGGAAAGGGGCTAGAAAGACATTTCAGGGATTTCTAGACTTGAAGCAAAACTCATATTGGTGGCAGGGGCCTCTCTAGGGCTGCCCTCCTCCAGCCTTCTAGACCCCACTCCGGGCGCCCCTCACTCTGGTAAAGGGCTGTTCTACTTAGGGCTGGCACAAGCGGGGTGACCGCTGGCGCAGCACCTGTGCTGGAGATGGGAAGCCCCAGGGATGGGCAGGGCCCCCTCCACATCTGGGCTGGCCCCAGGCTGCAGGGCTGAGGGTCCCAGGTACCAGGAGGGAGACGGATGTCACAGGAGGCCCAGGAGCCAGCGCGGCAGGACATGTGCAGGCGTGTCGGGCTGGGGGACGGCGGGGAAGCCTATCCTCTGCCCTGAGGCCACGCCTCTCCGAGCCTGCTCTGTGGGGGACCCAGCCAGGTCATCTCAGACCATCTTGGGTCCCCACAGCTCCCTGGGCTCTCTGCCCTTCTGACAGAGGTCTGAGGCCCCCTCCCCGGTCACCCAGGGCATGCTCCTGGGGGACTCGAAAGGAGACATCAGCGAACACCAAGGCCCTCCCCAGCCGGGCCCCCATGCCCGGCAGGAGGGGCGGCGGCCTACGTGGGTGTGCTGGGACGAGCACAGGGACTCGACCGCCTGCAGTCTGTTCTCGGCGACCAGCAGCTTCTCCCGCAGCCTCTCCACCTCCTGCTTGCTCTGGGCTTCCGCCCGCTGCAGCAGCTCGTAGTCCAGCATCTTCTTCTCGGCCAGCGAGATCTGCTCCTTGAGGAACTCGATGGCCTGCGCCTGGCCCCGGTACTCCACGTCCAGCTTCTCCAGCTCGTGCACGCGCAGCTCGGCGTCGCGGCGCTGGTCCTGGGCCTCCTGCAGCTCCAGCCGGTGCTGGCTGGCCTGCACCTCCAGCTGGGCCCGCCAGTGCTGCCGCAGCCCGGCCAGCTCCTCCTGGGCCTCCTGCAGCTTCTGCCGCAGGGCCTCCTTCTCCTTCACGTGCACGGCCGTCTCCAGGTCGTGCTTGGCCCGCAGGTTGCCCAGCTCCAGCTGGTGCTCCATCTTGATCCCCTCCATCACCGCCTTCAGCTCGCCGATCTCCTTCTGCTGGGCGCCCGGGCCCGAGCTCAGGGTGGCCTTGAGGTCCTCCAGGGACTTCTGGTGGTCTGAGGCCAGCGAGTCCAGCTTGGACTTCCAGTTGTCCATGAGCCCCATGTTCTCGCTGGTGGCCTGCTGGACCCTGTCCTTGAGGTCCGCCACCTCCTGCGCGTACTTCTCGTTGGCCGCCCGGAGCTTCTCCACCTCCGCCTGGTAGGCCTTCAGGGCCTTCTCGTACTTGTCCCGCAGCACCCCGCTCTCCCTCTGGTGCTCCTTGCTGGCCGACAGCAGCCGCTCCCGCAGCCGCAGGATCTCGGCGGCGTCGGGGTGGTCCGGGGGCGGTGGGCCCGAGTGCAGCAGGCACTGCTGCAGCTCCTCGATCTCGCCGCGGCGCAGGGTCAGCTCCTCTTCCAGCTGGAGCACCCGCGACTTCTCGGCCACCGTGGTCAGCTGCAAGGACAGAGGGAGACAGGGGTCAGAGAGCCAGTGCAGGGTGAGGAGGGCGCCATGGTGTGTGTGGGGGGGTCTCACCACTCAAGGGTGACCACCCCACCACAGCTTCCAGAAAGACTCCCCTGGCTCATATCTCAATGATTCAGGGAGCAGACTGTTCCCGCTGCCCTACGTGGCTTGGGACAGATCAGTGGTTAAAAGAAACCACCCATTTGAGGTTACGGTTAAGTTAATGTTAGTTACTTTTTAAGGAGCAGAGGCTGCAGGCTGAATTCTGCATTATCCTGCCCTAGAAAGGTCTCCAGCCAAGGGGTTGGCCAAAGGGGGTAGCCAAAGAAACACCCAGTTTAATGTCTAAAGCAGGAGAGAACGAATGCTCCCAGATTTTCAATGGAGACCCCTGGGATCAGAGGCTCCATCCCCCCAACACCCACCTTGATCACGTCGATGGTCATAGATCTGGAAACAATATATTTTCAAGTTTTAAATTTTTTTTTTTTTTTGAGACAGAGTCTCACTGTGTTGCCCGGGCTAGAGTGCCATGGCATCAGCCTAGCTCACAGCAACCTCAAACTCCTGGGCTCAAGCAATCCTTCTGCCTCAGCCTCCCGAGTAGCTGGGAAAAACAGGCATGCGCCACCATGCCCGGCTAATTTTTTCTATGTATTTTTAGTTGTCCAATTAATTTCTTTCTAATTTTAGTAGAGACGGGGTCTCGCTCTTGCTCAGGCTGGTTTCGAACTCCTGAGCTCAAACAATCCGCCCGCCTCGGCCTCCCAGAGTGCTAGGATTACAGGCGTGAGCCACCGCGCCCGGCCAAGTTTTAAATTTTTTTATGAGCTTAAAAATTTTTATTTTTGAAGTATCCTTTAGTCCAGTAAAGCTGTTTCTGTTTCTTAATGAGGTTGAGCCCTGGATCAAGATCTGTAACCTCTCTGTCTGGAGGGCTCCAGCCCATCCACAGGGACTGGGTCGGTTTCTGCACGCAGCCTTTGTGCACACGAGTTATGTACTGCACAAACACGTGCAGACACCGGGCAATGGCCAGCGTGTGCCAGCGGAGCCCTGTGTGTCTCCCACACCTGCATGCACGCACATGCCCACCTGCACGCCGAAGCCAACATGCAGAAACTGACTACTGCCGACTCCACATCCACACGCTGTTTACGGGGTGTTTTTCCCAATCACTGCCCTCTGCCCATTTAGCTCCCTGGACAGAAGAACTGCCACCAGGCTGGTCACTGGGCTGACCAGCTGTTTGCGTGCAAGTGCCTGCACATGCATGGTGGGCCTGGAGGGGCTGGTTGGGCCTGGAACAAGGGACTCGGAACCACACCCAGGGACTTGGGAAACCGCACCCCAAGCAGAGCTGTCTCATGGCTCCCTGACCACCGTATTACCAAGCCAGACCCTGGGGTGGACAGAGGCCCATCCCTGGGGACACGCTCACTTCCCCAAAGCCCCCCCCGCCACCTCCCCAGCCTCAGGTCCTTCAGGCTGGACTCTCCTGCCACCACGTTTCAGACCCCCCAGCCTAGAAAGGCCAGGATCTGCACATCCTTGGCTGGGGAGACAGCGCCTGCCCACGTAATGGGCACAATGTTCCCAAGTGGCTCAAAGCCTTGTCGTGGCAATGCATAAGGTGGGGGGGTGGGGTCTCGCGGGACATTCTCAGCTAAGGGGGCCGGGAGCTGGGGAGCCAAGTCCCAGAGAACAAAGACCCCCCACAAGCACACTTGGCAATGGAGCATCAGCACATCTCTGTATCTCGACTTCCCTCCTAGAGCGGGTACAAAAGAAAAATTGTGAGGACAGCAGGCATAGACAGAGTCGATAATAAAAGCGAGAAGCCGAGGGGCGGCAGTGGGCACGGGCTGGCGGCCGGGCGTTACCCTGTTGTCCGCTAATTCTCTGAGCAGCCGCTCGGCCTGCGCCTTCTCCAGTAGCAGGCTCTGCTCCAGCTCCCCAATGCGCGCGTGCTCCAGCTGCGTCTGGGTCTGCTCCACCCAGGCGGACACGGTGGGGGGTGGGGACACGGGCGGGGGCACAGGGAAGAGGAAGCCGGAGAAAGAGAGAGAGGGAGAGAGAAAGAGAGAGGAGGCGTCATCTTCGTTGAACAAGGCGAGGACAGCGGGTCAGTGAGCCAGAGTCATTCAGCAGAGAGGAGGCCTGGGGAGGGCGCGGTGGGGCCTGACGCCCACCCTCGCCACGTCCTGGTGGGTGTGTGTAGGGCAGAGGCTGCAGCAACCCTCCCTCGCTGGCCCCTGCTGGGGGTAGCAGTGGGCACCCTGGTTCCCTTCTGTCATTCCCGGCAGCCTTTGCCCTTGCGGGTCCCGCTGCCTAATTCTGGGGAGCGACCCCAGCCTGTTCCTGCCCCCCACCCCCAGCACAGGATCCCGTATATAGGAGGCCCTCAGGGTGATGAATGAATAAGTGACCCCAGGATTCCTGGCCCCCCAGGCCTGTGCTGAAGGTGGAAGAACCAAGGTGGAATGGAAAGTTTTCAAAAATATACCCATGCCGTCATGATTCCCTTGGCCTGGCCTCCTCGGTGGAGGCCGGGCTGTGCCTCCCACCGCCCAGCCCCGTCGGTGCCCACCCCCGGGCCCCGCAGAGCACGCCTGGTCTCCAGAAAGCACAAGGGCACTTTTGTCCCAGCTTCACAATATCCACTTCATACACTGTCAAAGCCCAGCATTCTCAGGGTGTCAGGACTGGCATTTGGGTTTCCACGTAACAGATCTCTGGAGCGAATCGGGCAGGGTGGGGGCGCTTGCTCTGGGACACTCGGAGCAGTTTAGAAACCAAGCTCATCTTAGGGAGAAGCAACAGACTCCTCTTCAACCTCCAGAAGAGACAGGGTTCAGGCAGACCCGCGTGGCAGCCCTGAAGGGGCAGGCTTAGCAAAGGAGCATACGTGTGTAAGAACGGTAATAAAAACCCGGAAGCTGGTGCATTGGTGGTGGTATAAACTGGTACCACCTGCTAGAAATACTCCTGCAGTTCAGAACTACGGAAATGATTGTCTTTTGGCCTATTTTTTAAATTTTCCTAAAGAAACAACAAAAAAAGGTTCCCCCCTCTCTCCTAAGGGGGCAGTTCCAGTGCCAACAAGAGCAGTCAGACTCTGTCTCTTCTAGAAAATCACAGGCTGATGATGGTGGCTCAGTGCCAGCCTCACAAGGGCCGAACCCACCGTCCCCACCCTCAAGGGTGGGCCAAACAGCTCTGCCCGGGACCTTCACAGAGGAAGCATGACCCTAAATACTAAACTGGTGGCCCCATGGGCAAGAAAAGCCTCCAGCTTTGAAATTTCAAGGGCAACCTCATTTGGTACCCAGCCTAGAGAACCTGCTCCATCACTTCCAGACCTTCCAGCCTCCTGGCCCGGGGTCTCTGTGGGGGCACAAGGGAGCCCAGTGGAACTGCTTCGGGTGCTTGCTTCATTTGCATATATCCAACCACAGGAGCCAAGAGGAAAAACAGCCTCTAAAGGCTAGATCCTAGGTGGGACTGGTTTCCATTCTGCTCCAGGGCACTGCTGAGGGCCTGGGGAGTGGGGGCCACCATGCTCCTGGTTTCTGCCACTCTGGGGTCCCACAGAGTCACGGACAAGGTGATTGGGGGCAGTGTAAAGGCCGATGTCATTTATCTCTTGCACTGACTCTGGAACCCAACCCCCATCTGAGGGGTGTCCCCTGCGCACAGCAGAGAGGGGCCACTGGTGTGCGGGGCGGGGAGCCTGGAGCTCGGAACCTCCCAGCAACTTCAGGTAGAACAAGGCCTGGGACTTGAACCTCCAACGGGCACTTTTACCCCTGAACCACTGTGGCTCTGTGGAGGGGAGGTACGGATCTCCAGTAGCAACACAGCAGTGAGGGAGGCTCCTCGGGGTTGGGGGCTCCTATTTCCCTACCCCAATCCCAGTCCTGGAAGTACAGTCAAGCCTTGCCTAAGCCCTGGGCCTGTGGCTCCTGCCTTCTCACACACACCGTCTCTTCCCCACTCCTAAAGCACAGAGCAGCCACCTTGGGACATCTTTCAGGCATCTAAGGACTTGTGTTATTAATAAATTGGGGGCGGGTTTCCCCAAGGACGCCAGGGGCTCCTGAGGATGGCAGCACCACACCACTCCTCTTGGTTGACCTCAGAGAGATCTCAACAATGGTTGGTTCTAGGTTCATAAAATTGGTTCTTCCTGTTAAAATGGGTATTTCTATGCAAATGAAAGATAACATCGAGACACTATTTGGTTAACAAAATAACAACACAAAACCCCTGGATGATTAAACAATAAGAAAATCCCAATCCTGTCAAGTCTAAGGTGGCTATGGATGTCCCCACCCAGGTGGTGGACAGATGTTTCCATGATGCCAAACAGCAATACCCACTGGAGAACCACAGAACATGTTCCCAGCCTGTGACCCAGGAAGCCCACTCCTGGAGAAGCACGTGGCCATGTCTGGCATTGGGGGTGTAGAGGTGAACAAGACAGACAGGGCCCCCACCTGCAAGGGGCTCATACACACTGGGGAGAGAGTAGCTGGGACGGAGATCGAACAGAGAAGAAATACAATTTATGGTTAGACCTGAAGGGTAAGAAGGGAGCCCCTGTGCAAGGCAGGGGGTGGGAAGAGGTCAGCGTTTCAGGAAAGCGAACCAGCATGTGCAAGAGCTCAGAGGCAGGACACAGCTTGGGGTGGCCTGGGAACAGCGAGGACCCCAGCGTGCCTAGATAAATCAGGGCTAGGCAGGAGGAGGGACTGGGTCCTGAGGGTCTCCTCTGGACCACTCTGCAGAGCCTGGATGGTATCTGGTGTCACGGTACGGGCTGTGTGAGCAGGAGAGGAAAAGGACCTGATGTATGTTTTTAAAAGATGTGGTCACAGGATGTCTGGGATGTGGGGTCAGGGTGTAGCTGAAACGAGATTGGCAATGAGGTGATAACTATTGGAGCAGAGTGATGGGTAAATGGAAGTTCATTAGACCATCTTCTCTATTTGTGTACAGGTTTAAAAACTGCCAATGTCAAAAATGAAAAAGATATTTTTAAAAAGATTATGCTGGCTTCAGCCTGGAGGAAGGGCACTGGAAGAACAAAAGAAGAAGGAGAGGCCGTCTTCAGCCAGCTACTGGGCCTGTCCCAGGGAGGCGGCTGTAGGGATGTGGATTATTTTAGCGACAAGGTCAAGAGGATTTCTGGTGGTGGGATGAAAGGAGAAGGTTCAAGATGAGCTCTAGCTGTAGGGGCCAATTCCTGAGATGGGAACGGTAAGGGGACGGTGTTAGGGAAGCCAGTGGGGTAGAGTGCAAGTTCTGGGTTGACTAGCGTCCCCCTAAATTTGATGCCCACTCAGAGCCTCAGAGCTTCCCTTGTTCAGAATAGGGTCTTGGCACATGTAATTAGTTACGATGAGGTCACACTGGATCAGGGTGGGCCCGAAACCCAATGACTGGTGTCTTTATAAGGAGGCCATGTGAAGAGACACACAGGGAAAGCTGCCAAGTGAGGACTGGCAGAGACGGGCCTGGTGCAGCTACAAGCCGGGGAACACCAGCGGGGCCAGCAGTCCCACGGGAAGCTGGGAGAAAGGTACGGGGCAGATTCTCCAACACCCTGGATCTGCACTTCTGGCCTCTGGAACTATGAGAGCATGAATTTGTGTCTTCAGCCACATCTTTGTGGCAACGTGTTACTGAAGGCCCAGGAAACGATACAGATGCCCATTCCTTACTCATGTGGGTGGCCACATCAAGTGGGCACGCCGGTGCGGCCTGGGGGAAGGCGTGAGAATCACGAGAGCTTATCCGGGCTCTGAGGCCACACACTGGCAGCTCTCAGGGCGAGTGTGGACCAGACGTCAGGAAGGAGCCGGCACCGGCAGAGGAGGCTGCGAAGTTGAACGGGGGCACCTAGCGCAGCTGGCGGACTGCAGAGCAGAGGGGCCCCCACAAGCCCGAGCTGCTCTTGGGGCGTTTTATAATAAGGACACGGCAGACAGGGAACCAGGGGGCCAAGGAAGGGTTCTGGTTTTTATTTTTTACTTTTGAGATGGGTGGGGGTGGGCAGGGCTTTGGGTCATTTTGCTTTCTGGCTGCCATAAATACGGTCACGATTCAGTGACCCTACAATAAAAAGCGGTCACCATCATCCACTGCCCTTCCCACTGAACTAGCTGTCACTGTCTGTCCCGCCTCCTGCCTCTCCCAGCCAGGACTGATTGGGTGTGGAGCGGACACCGGATCCAGAGCCACCCAGCCCACTGGCTAACCTAGGGCCAATCAGAGACTGTCGTGGGGACAGTGGGCGGAGCTAGAAGGGCATGGCTGTGCCAGGAGGCAGGAGACACAGTGAGACAGACAGACAGACACCGCCTGACTGAGGCACAGAGAGCAGAAAGTCCAGGGCACGGGCCACACGGCCCAGCTCCTGATGCCATTTCTGGTTCCAGTTCCCTGGACTGCCTGCCCTTGGGGCTCTAGAGTTTCCTGCAACCCTAAGCCCCCAGTACCTGGGGCGGGCCGCGGGGGTCTCTGCTCCTGGCGACAGACAGGCACTCTCCCGAGAAACCCACCCCAGACATCGGAAAAGGCCGCCAAGAGTAACCGCATGGCCTGTCCTCTTGGGGGAAACCTAATCAGAACACGCTGACGCTGGGCTGAGGCTCCCACACTGGGGTTGTGCCCCGCAGCAGCTCTTTAAGCTCAGACGGCAAAACCTGCTCCCACGGCAGCAGCTGGCAGCGACCCCGGGCAGATCACACATCCCCCCCACCCCAAGCCAGTCTGTCCCGCCCCCTGCCTCTCCTAGCCAGGGACAAGACACCCATACGCATACCTTTGCTAAAGGGGAAGTGCAAGTCGTAGGGGTCTTAACGTGGCTCTTTCGTAACATCAGAAACCACAATTTCTAACCCACCTAACGGGTACAATGAACACTATTCGGGGTGATGGGCATGTGTATAGCCCTGACTCAACCCATGTATCAAAAACATTTGTACCTCCTTTAATATTTTGAAATTAAAACCCCGTAATTTCTGATTTGAGCTCAGAAATGATCTAGTGGGGTGATTCCCAAAGTGTGGTCCCTAGACCGGCATCACCTGGGAGCCTGTTAGAAATGCAAATCCTGGGGTTGTAGCTGGTCCTACTGGGGGCGGGGCCTAGCAGTCTGTGTTTGAACCAACCCTCCAGTTTGAGAACCACCCATCCGGTTCAACCTCCTCATTTCACAGATGAGGAAACTGAGGCCTGGGGAAGGGAAGAGGCTGCCTTAGGCCGCTTAAGACCAGAACCAGGCTGTAGAGAGGGACTAAACTCACTGTCCCCTACCCGACCTGACAGCTCCAAGAGTCCCCGTCTCTCCCAGTCTCCCAGGGAGCAGGTACTCCTGCCCACCCAACTGTGCCCTCACGAGCCCTGCAGTCTCTGCATGGTTTGGTGAGGAGGAACTGGCAGAGGTGGGGGGTGGCGGGGTGGAGGTGCTTTACTAACTGCTCTGAGCACCCCTAATCCCTCGGTTAAAAAAGGGGAAATCAGATTAGAGGGTGAAAGGTCCAACTTCTGTCCAGACCAACGTGTCCAGGTGTCATAGTGAGGAGGGATGCACAACTTTCACCACCTTGTTGGCGGCTGAGGAGTTGAGTACGGGTCCTCGGTCCCAGGGCTCCTGACTTGGGTGAGTCCTTTTGCCTTTCTGAGCCTGTGTTCCCATCTATGAATTCTGTGACTCAGGGTCCAAGGGACACTGTTAGGGTTACTGCCCAGCAAGAAGGGGCAGGGGAGTTCAGTCCCTATGTCATCAGGCCCAGCCCTGCACTTTCCCTGTCCTCAGTCTGTCGTGCCCACCCCAGCTGGCTGCCGAAGTGGGCACACGGTCCCTCTGGGGCTCCTGGAGCCGAGCTGCATGTCCCCGACATGAGAGTCTCTCGTGGCCTGCACCTGCCCGCTTCTCCCAGGCTGTGACCTTTGACCCTTCCCCATGTCTCCCTTGTGATCCCTCTGGTCCCCTCCCAGGGGGGCCCAGAGGTGCTGCCTGGACCTCATGGCCATTTGCTATGGCAAGGGCTGGGCCTGGGGAGCTGAGTGAGCCCAGGAGAGGGGCGCTTGGCGGTTACCTCGAGGTCTCCCTTGGTGATGGACTCCTCCTCCACGCGGAACTGCAGGTCCTCCACCTTCCTGTAGGGGAAAGGGGGAGGTGACCGGGCTTTGCCCAGAGCAGTAGGCTTCACCAAACCAACAATGGCAGAGAGAGGCGAGGCCCTCAAAATGGCCCGGAGTCCACACTCAGACCATGCAGAGGGGACTGTCCCAGCAGAACAGGGACATGTCCACAATCCTGTGACAGAGAGGGGGCAGAGCTGCCTGGAAACCTCCAGACCTCCCACCTTGCCGACCTGCACTGTAAGCAGAACCAGCAATGACTCTAAGATGGGAGTGTTTAATGCAACACCCTTCCTCCCCCTGGGGTGGTGGGGAACTAGGACAGCGTGCATTGTAGATGGAAGCACAGTGGTGTTAGTGACAATGCTGTTTTCATCACTGCAGGGAACAGACACTGCCACAGGGAACACTCTGTGCAGAGAGCAGAAGAAGGGAAGGGAGGAAAGTGGGCTTCCTTTCCTGCTGACCCTGCTCCCATCCACAGGCCCCAAATCAGGGGTCAAGGTCCCAGTCCACATTCCCTGGGCTGCTCCTGGGTATGGAGGGCCCCCAACACCTGCTGCTCAGGGAGACACTCTCACCCACACATGTGCCAAGACAGCACAGGGGAGAGACACAAGCCCACCTCATGTTACAGCCACACCTAAGAGCTCCAAGGGGGCCTCCTGACAGCTCCCAACATACCAATGATGAAACTGAGGCCCAGAGACAGCAAGCAATCTGCTTAAGGTCACACAGCAAGTACAGGGCACTGCTGGAACTTGCACCCGAACCCCTCCTGAACACAACTCCCACGACGCCTTAAAGATCTGTTTGTTTGTCGGCATCAGGTGTGTCACCATGGGAACCAGATGTGTGGGCCCCGACGACTGTCTTAGGCAGATATAAATAAACCCTCATCTCCCCAAGTCAGACAGTAACAGCAGCCTGTGGAGCACATGGCTCGGCTGAAAGCCCGAGAAACAGACCCAGTGGGGCTGCTGAGCACGGGTGGCTACTGTGGGGGACGGGAGGGCGATGCAGAGATCTGGCCGTGATCTAGGAGGGAAAGGGAGCTCCCGAGAGGAGACAAACCCCCGTCCACTGTCGGCTGTGTCCCACCAGGTGACCCTGGTCCAAGACAGGCCAGGGTTCCCACTTGGCAGGTTTCTAGGGCTCCTGCCCTTGGCCAGATCCTTACCTGGGTGGGCAAGCGTCTCCCCACATCCCTGGAGCAGCCTCAAAAACACACAGAAGGAACCACAATCCCCACATGCCGCCGTGGCAGGGCACAAGGAATCCGTGTCCCCACCACGTCCCTTCCCTGTGCTGGGCCTCGGTTTCCTCGTCTGTGACACAGGGCAGTACCTGCCTCCCGGACTGATGGTAAGATTGAGAGAAATGATGCCTGCAAAGCACGCAGCACAGGGCTGGCACCTGGAAGCGAGGCATTTTGGGAGTCCTTTCGCTGCTGCTTCTCTGAGCCTCCCTCTGCTGGCACGTGAAACAGGAACAGAGCCTCGGGACAGGCACCCCAAGCTCCTCTTGCAAAACTCGGCCCGGGGACACCGTGTGCATGTGAACTGGCTCACAGTGGGTGGGGGGTGGCACTGGGCCTTTTCCTGGTGTGTGGTTCCCAGGGACACCTGGTGTGACAGAACCCCCCTACCCTGGTGTTCTCACAGTACATCACTGGACGGGGCAGGAACAGGGAACTCCACACAGCAAGCAAACGTGGTGTCCCCGTGTGCCCAGCACTGTGCTGGGTGCTTGACTCCAGTGATCTTGTGAGTCTGTCTAACCACCTGTGGAACATGGGAACCAGCACCTCATTTTACAGATGAGAAGACTGAGGCCCACAGAGCTCCTGTCACTAGTCCAAGGGTGACAGAGTCAGGAAGTGGCAGGGGCGGAACCTGGGTCTGCTATTCCTGAGCCTGTGCTCTTCCTCATCCTCCTTAGCGGGGCTCAGGGAGAGCACCCCTGGGTCGGTGGGGCAGCGCGTACCTCCTTTCCTCCTCCAGCTGGTTGGACAGGTCCACCTTCTCTTTCCGCACGCTGTCTACCAGCAGCCGGGCCCGCTGCAGCTTCTCTTCTGCTTCTGCAACATACTGGGCCCCGAGCAAGGGCCAGGACAGGGTCAGCCTCCTCCTGGACAGGGGGTCCAGGTAGGGGGTGGGGTAGGGGAGGGGAGAGGCAGGAAGCCAGGCCTGGAACCCCCCGTTGGGCATGGACAGCGGGCCCATGTATGAGGAGAGAGGGCCCAGCAGGACACCAGGGAGGCAGAGGCAGGCCTCACCCCCGTCGGACCTTCAGGCCCACACACCCTAATACCTGCCTCCAGCCCATGAGAGCCCAAGTCTGAGGCCCCAAGACCTGCTGTCTCGTGCAGGTCCCTGTCACAGCACACACGTGAATTCGGCCTTACTAATCCTGGCACCCGAGGAGGGGTGAGCCGGGCCTCCGATGGGGACAGGGGCCCAGAAGGGGACTCACATGGGAAACAAACATCAGCGAAAAGAGCAGACATGACAGCAGCTGCCCCAAGGCTTAGGGTGAGGGGTCACGTCCCTGAAATCCAACCCCCGAATCTGCTCAAAAACATGATCTGAAATGTGGACAGCTGTGTATAAAAATGTCTCCTGCAGCATTATGTAGAAGAAGTGAAAAACTGTAAATAATCTCAACAGCAGCAGGAGCAGGTGACTGGCCACGTCAGTGAGGACAGGGCCCGGATGGAAGACAGCACAGCCTTAGGATGGAGAAGACTTTTCCAGGACTTAGGAAATGCTCGCACTATAGTAAGTAGGGAAAAAAGCAGGATACGTGAGTTTCCAGCCAGGCTCTGAAAACAGATGCACTTTTCCCTACACATAGAGAGAAAAGACTGGAAGGAAATTCACCAGGCCACTGAGGCTCGTCTCTGGAAAGGAGGGCACAGGTGTTTCTCGCGTGCATCTCAGCATCTCTCTGCACCCCTGGCTCTCCACTCTGAGTGTATGTGACCTCACAAGACTGCCCGGAGAAGGTGCACCCTCGGCCCCACCTGCCACCCACCTGCTCGTGCTGTGCCTTGAGCAGGGCGATCTCCTTTTCCACTTCGCAGATGTGGCTTGTGGCCTTGGCCACCTCGGCCCGCTCCAGGTCCCGTTCGGCCAACAACTGCTCAATGTGCTGCTGCTTCTCCTTTAGCGCCTCCTGCAAGGCCGTCGTGCCCGAGATCTTGCGGGCATAGCGCGAAGAGGTCTCTGTGAGCTGCAGGAAGGCGGGGGTGCAGGTGGGGCTCAGGCATCTGGAGCACCATGGGCCAGCTGGCTCAATCCGGCCTAACCCACAGCAACCCAGCAGGTGGGCTGATCAACTGCCTCGACTCCCAGGGTCCTGCCCTTCCCCAACCAGTACCCTGGACACCCTGGCCCTCGTCGACTCACGCAGGGAGGAATTCTGATGTTGGAGATTCAGGAAACTCTCCCTCCCAGGGCAGGCAGCTCCTGATGGTCAGAGCCCCGAGGGCTCTGCTCACGATGGGCTCCCTCACCTCGGCCACCTTCTCCTGGGCCAGGGGGAGCCTCCCCACCCTAGACTGGGCTTGGACAAAAGGCCCTCAGCCCATACCCACTAAGCAGCCTCCTCTTCTCCCCTCACCCAGGGTCTCTGTGCCAGCCTTTCTGGACCCTCTGCCCTGCATCTATATGACCCTCCTAAACTCCCAGAGGAGGGCTTAAGCCACCAACAAATCAGTAATATAAAAATAACAATAAATGTAAATGGATCTTTTGTATTAAAAGATATGTACTTTCAGGCCGGGCGCAGTGGCTCACGCCTGTAATCCTAGCACTCTGGGAGGCCAAGGTGGGTGGATCGCTCAAGGTCAGGAGTTCGAGACCAGCCTGAGCAAGAGCGAGACCCCGTCTTTACCAAAAAATAGAAAGAAATGATCTGGACAACTAAAAATATATATATAGAAAAAATTAGCCGGGCATGGTGGCGCATGCCTGTAGTCCCAGCTAGTTGGGAGGCTGAGGCAGAAGGATCGCTTAAGCCCAGGAGTCTGAGGTTGCTGTGAGCTAGGCTGATGCCACGGCACTCACTCTAGCCAGGGCAACAGAGTGAGACTCTGTCTCAATAAAAAAAAAAAAAAAAAAAAAAAGATATGCACTTTCATCTTTGTTTAAAACCCCAAACTGAGGGAGGACTGGAACCAGAGCCAGTTGCGGATAGGTTGGGTCACCTGGATCCCACTATCTCCACCCCAGCCATAGATTACCCCCTCCCCAACCCCACCCTCACCAGGCCGCTGCGGCTGGGCCGGCCCCCCACAGAGGAGGCCACAGAGCTGACGGAGCTGATGGAGGAACTGCTGGGACTGTGGGTCAGCGCTGAGACACCCATGGCCATACGCTTGGTCTTCTTGGCCTTGGCTGGGCTGGTGGACGGGAAGCCGATGCGGATCACCTTGTGGATGGGCGCGAAGAGACCAAACTTGGGTGGGCACTGGAAGTACCTGGGGAGGCAGGAGAGACCCACGCTGCTGTCACGGCCCTACAGCCTGGAGCCTCACCTGCCTCGCCCGCCTCTTCAGAGCCCAGCAGGCACCTTCCTGGGGGGCCCTGTCACCCACATCCCAAGGTGGAAATCCCCCAGGCCGACAGACAGGATTCTCAGAAAGGGAACAGAGGTGAGTGTCACCTGAGAGTCTCGGCAGCTGCGAACAGCCAGTGGGAATACCCTTGTGGGGAGGGGGAACGGCAGTTACTGGGATGCCTTTTGTGCCATCCCTTTCCATGAATGCTTATCTCAGTCCCTCAATGTTCCTTACACGCACCGATGAGGAATCTAGGCTCAGGGAGGTTAAGTAACTTGCTCGCAGTCACACAGCTGGTTAAGTGGCAAAGCCAGCCCTGGACCCCTCAAGCCTGCTGGGCTCCAAAGCCCACTAAGCTCGGCTCTCACAGCTCTCAGAGGCCCCCAGCCATAGCTGTAGCCCCACTCTCAGCTGCCCTGGGACCACCCCCAGAACCAAGGAATCCCACCAGCTCTCTGTCCACAGAGTCCCTGCATGGAAAAGTTAATGCCTGACGGAAACACCTGGGGGTGGTGTGGGGGGTGTGGCCCAGCCTGCCTTGAATTCTCAAAGCAAGAGGGAGTTGAGAGAAACATCCATCTCGAAAAACAGGGAGGCGAAATGTTGTCATGGAAACCTGAGATTCTCATCTTCTCTCAAAACCTCTCTGGTCATGGATTCCACGTTGGACCACGAGAACTGGGCCTGTCCGGTTTCCGGTCCACCATGAATCTGCCACCCTATCCACCTCCTCCCACCTCCAGGTCTTTGCTCAGACTGTCCCCCACCCACCCCCAGCCTAGCGTACCTTCTCCAAGCCTCTTCCAGAAGCAAACCCCACCTTCCTGCAAGGCCTGGACCATGCCTGGCTCCTCCCATTGGCTCAGCCTGTCACAGCCTCATCTGGGTCACAGAATGCAGACCAGGGACAGCCAGCGCCAGCACTTAGGCTGCCTCACCTCAGTCCACACCCGTGACAGACCCTGCCCACTGACCACATCACTCTCCCACCCCCAGTGGACCCAGACACAGCCTTAGACCGGCAACCCAGCAGTCAATTTCCTTTAACTAGAGATGGCGCGAGACCTGGGCCCCATCTGTGAGGCCCGGCTCTGGCCACACAGCGCTGGGTACTGTCTTGTTATTTCACATCATCGTGGAACTCCAGGAAGGAAGGGACTGCTGCCTCTCTTTTTCGAGGGCTCCTGCCCCACTTAGCTGTGTGTGGCATGAAGGGAATACAGGGACAACAGATTCTCCTAGTGCTTGCTTGTGACTGTGTGACCTTGAGAATGACCTCTCTGGCCTCCATTTTCTCATCTGTAAAATGGGATGATAAACCCACCACCTGCCTTAGTGGGCTATTCTGAGGGAAAGGAGGAGAAAGCACCTCTGTTGTGGTATCTGGCACAACATCCTCAACACTGGCGTCCTCAGACGCCCCGTCCCCATCCTCTGTGTCCACCCCAGGCGCAGAGGAGCCCCTCCCATATTCCTCAGGGAAGGCCCACCGTACCTGGTGCCCGCCACTGCCCCATCGTTCTTCCCAAGGGGCTCGTCCAGCTCCACACCACACCATTCGCCCTTGGCAAAGTCCGTCTCCCCCACGTACCGCACCACGCCAGTCTTCGTCCCGCCAACCTGTTGACACATGGAGAGACTCGGGTCTGGAAGACGCAGTGGGCACAGGCAGAGAAGGCTCGGGCACCCAGGGGCATAGGCTTGTCCCATCCCTCCTTCTAGTATGCAGGGGACAGGGGAGGAGCTGAGAGGTGAAGATGGGGAGATGCCCAAGGACAGCTGGGAGGGACACGGGTCAACCAGCGCCTCCAGGGCTATCCTGTGCAAGAGCATGGGCTTTGCAGGCAGACACACACACCTGCATTCAAACGCTGCCACGTGCAAGCTGTGTGAGCTTAGACAAGTTAACCTCTCTGAGTCTCAGCACCTTTAACTGTAAAAAGGGGTTTTGTAAGAATTAAGTATTATATATACGGTGTCTGGTACAAACTAGAGCCTAAGAGAATGTTATTCTTAAAATAGTTTTAACAGTGGTGGCCAGTGGCTGGCAGAGATCAGGAAATGGGAGTTATTGGTAAATGGGTGTAGAGTTTCAGTTTTGCAAGATGAAATGAAAAGTTCTAGAGATCTGTTACACAACAATGTGAATACACTTGCTGCTGCTAAACTGCACACCTAAAAGTGGTTAAAATGGTAAATTTTATGTTATTTTAATATGTTTTTTACCACAATTAAAAATAACTCATAAGGAGTCCACTTGGCTTCTTGGGTGTAGCTCTCGGCCATTGTCCTTAAACTTGGCTCAGAATAAAGTCTTTAAATTATTTTACAAAGGGAGGGAGGATGGAAAGAAGGAATGAGAAAAAGTGGTTTTGTGAACAAGTTTGGAAAAATGTACACTAGATTGCCTTCTAGAAAATTTGCGATACATATTAACATATTAAAAGCTTTAATTCCTGCAATAAAAAACCTCATAGAACAGACAATAAAAAGTATGAATATTACTGTAAAAATAGTTTAACCCCATAAATTTATATAAATAAAATAAACAGGTAGTTTAAAATCCAAGTTATACATACATACAGATTAAAGGGTCAAATACATCCAAAGCTTTAAAATACCCCAGCCGTTTCTCCCTGGAAATAAACATTTTTAACTTTCTAAGCAAGATCTTCTGGAGTTTACCTTAATATCTCTAAGAACATATTTATATTGCTACTTCTTGATTTTTCAATTTTTGGTGACATCCATCAACTTCCCACCAAGGACGGTGAGACTCGAGCTTCCGGTCCCCGCGGGGGCCACTCCAGACTTCCTGGCTGTCCACCCTTTCTGTGCGGCCACGTGAACACTCTGATTGCACTTGGGGCTCACAGCACGACTGAGTAAACAGCATTCACAGATGAGGATGCTATGTCGCAGCTACTTTTCCTTTCCAGCACAATTATTTTTCCCCTACAGATAACTGTTTTTATGATTGTCTGCCCAGTTTTTATGGTCTCAACACTAATTCAACCCCAAACTCTTTCGATAGTCTAAATCTCCTGCCAAGATGTTCAGGGGCACTGGGACTTCGATCAGGTTCTTTCTGAAGGCGTCTCTCCCGGAGCACGGGGCCCACTCCAGACTGGACTGGTGCTGACCCCCTGCAGCGCGGCCACCAGTCTGGGACCTCCTGTCACCATCACCCTGAGGCACCCTTCCCTTCTCTCCTGGGCTCAATCGCCTGTTTCCTGGATCCCGATTCTTCTTCTTTCTTGGTTTACTCCTTATTTTGGTAGAGCCCATCCTCCCACAGCTTTCTGAGAAAACGTGATGAGGAAATAAAGTTTTCAAGCTTTTCACATGTGAAAATATTTTTTATTCTACCCTGCTTTTTTTAATGGAGGTAAAAATTCATATAACATAGAATTCGCCATTTTAACCATTTAAAAACATACAATTCATCAGCTCTTAGTACATTCACAACCATATCCCCTATCTAATTCCAGAACCCATCATCGAATTCCAGAATTCCATCCCCCAAAAAGAAACCCCGTACCCAGGAGCAGTCACTGCCCACTCTCTCCTCCCCTCAGCCCTCGACAACCACAAATCTACTTGCTGTCTCTACAGATTTGCCCATTCTGGACATTTTATAGAAATGGAAACACAATATGCGGCCATTGTGGTGATTTCTTTCTCTGAGCACGATGTTCCCAAGGTTCATCCATCTCAACGGATCAGCACCCATTCCTTTTTATGGCCAAAGGAAATGCCATCGTATGGACAGGACAGAGGACGTTCTGGTCATCCATCCATCTGCTGAGGGACACTGGGTCGTTTCCACTCTTTAGCTATTACGAATAACGTTGCTATGAGCACGTGCGTGCAAGTTTTTGTGTGAACACCTGCTTTCGATTCTCTTGCTACTCTCGAATCACAGGTTGGTTCCCTCGGAATTTCAGGGGCTCCTCCTGTGATGTAAGCGTCCAGTGTTGCTGTTGAGAAGTTCAAAGTCATTCGGAGTCCCAATCCCTCACGTGAGACCCGTCTTTCCGGTGTGGAAACCCTCAGCACTTCTCTGCCCAGGGCTCAGTTCCACAGGGAGGGTCCCCAACGCGGGCCTCTGCCCACCTACTGTCCTGGGCTCCCACGGTCCTTCCAACCAAAACCCTGTCACTCCTGGGGAATTGTCTTAATGACTTATCTTTATGACTTAATGACTTATCTTCTCTCCCCTTCTCTTTCTGTGTTCTCTCTTCCTACAACCACAGTCATTTAGAAGCTGGAGCTACTAGACAAGTTCCCTAATGCTCTCTCTTCCCTCCTGTTTTCCATCTGTCTTTCTGGTCTACTTTTTGAGAGATTTTCTTAACTTTATTTTCTCACACTTCTGTGGAGTTTCTTATTTCTGGGATCGTATTTTTCATTTCCCAGAGCTTTTTTGTCCACTGAATATTTATGTTGGTATGAATATTCATGCTCATGAATATTCATGCCCCATATCCAGCGGCGTTTTGTTCATATTTAATGCCTGTATTATCTTCTCTTATTTCTCAAAGGGCCGGCCGTCTTCCCCAGAGAAGATTCTCGTAATCTCCACGGCGGAGGGCGGAGGCTTGGCCGCCAGCATCGGGAAGCTGAGTGAGGAAGAGGCAGGCGGGGTGGGGGTGGGGTGCGTGGCCTTCAGAACAGAAACGTTCATGTCATCCTCCTTCTCCAGTCCAGCCTGCCCGGGATCCCTCATGCAGAGTCTCTGTGACCCTCTCAGGAGACTAAGCGTCCATCCCAGGCATCAGCTGGAGGGAGCCACCAGGCAAAGGAGCACAGGGACCTAAAGGGGGATTTGGGGGGGAGGGGTCCTAAAGATTTGTTAACCAGTTCTCCTGTTTCCGGCCCCATGGCAGCCCCATTTCCAGAGGCCACCATGTGCTGACTCCTGAGCCTCCAGGGTTTCTGAAATGAGCATCGATCCCATCTCTGCTGTCCCCGCTGCCGGGGCATCCCTGGCTTTGCTGCTGCGGTCTCCTCTCTTGTTCTCTCTGTCCTTTAGGGCTTTAAAACCTTTTTTTTTAAATAAAAAAAAAAAAATCTCTTCACTGTCATTCTACTGCAGGTTCAGGAGACACTGAAAATAAGTGTGCGTGTTTATTTACCATGTTTATCTGAACCTTAAATACGACTTTCTAAATGTTACTTTCCTGACACCACCAAGTACGCCTCAGGTGTGCCTGAAAGGGACCTGCTCCTGCCATCTATTAAGGACCAACTATGTGCCAGGCACATTAAAGACATGAATTCCAAACCCATGAGGCGAGCACTCTTAGCCCATTCATGGAAGAAGAGACTGAGGTTCAGAGTAGTCAGTGAGTGGAAGTGCCAGGTGGGCCTCTCATTTCACCCTGCTGCCTCCTCAATCCCAGCGGGGCTCCATTCCAGACAGGGCCCCATCCTCCTGTGTCCCCTTCCTGAGCAGGGGCCAGGGGTCTCTGCCACAGCAGGCCTGTCTGTGAGTCTGGGTCAGTTCCCTCTGGTTTCTGGCCTCAGATGGGGCTGCCTTCCCAGCCCCTCCTTTCCGGCACCAGGTCTCAACACCTCCCCCCGACCCCCACCATGTCTACACAGTCAGTCTTGGTTTCTGCTGCTCTGTACATAATTCCAACCTAGAATGTCCTTTCTCTTCCACAACCTAAATCCTAAACTGGTGGCCACCTGGCTGGCTCTGGGGGCTGCCACAGTAGGTCACACTGATTCTGAAGCCTACTTCTCCAAAACACATGCAGATTGACCCATCTCCTGGGATGGATTTTCTGGACCACACCTTGGGGTTCCTGCAAGCCCCAAGATGGACACACGTAGCACCTCTCCACGGCTCGGGCCAGCCAGGCAGCCGAGTGCCCTGACATGCTCCCTAGGCCTCGAAGGTGCCCAGGACCAAAGCAGGTGGTGGCTGGCCTCCCCAGGCAGAAGGAAATGGAGAGGTGGCCTGGGGTGCCAGGATCCAGTGGAGCCAGGATCCAGAAGCATCTTTGCAGACCAGCAAAAGGTGCACTCAGCTAAATACCACTCATGCCCCCACCTTTTTTGAGACAGGAGCTCGCTGTGTTGCCCAGGCTGGAGTGCAGTGGCATGATCATAGCTCACTGCAGCCTCAAACTCCTGGCCTCAAGTGATCCTCTTGCCTCTGCCTCCCGGAGTGCTAGGATTACAGGCGTGAGTATTCACGCCTTGGACCCGGGTGGGAAGCAAGTTAATGGAGCTTAGACATCAGGCCCCCTCCTCATCCCTGCGAAGGGCCCTAGCAATGCATCCAGGGACTCTGTGCTTTGTAAAATCTGCAGTGATTTTTTTGTATTGTTTTTCCTAAAGAGTCCCCCATCCTCAAATTGTGTAAGTTCAGGCCTCTACATTCACCCGGGTCCAGGACGTAATTTTTTCAAGGGTGGAGTAGGAACAGGAGGGTGATGTGTCAGCAGGTGGGCTGAGCCAGCTGGAGCCTGGCAGTCAGCAGCCGGGCAGGCTGGAGCACAGGGTGGGGCCTGCGGGGCTCCATCCTCGCAGGTGGACAAATCCCTCGTTCACATCCCTCTGCGCTCCTGCCCCCAGAATCCAAGGGTCGCCCGTGTCCAGGCAGTCGCCGTCCATGAGGGAATAAAGGAACGAAGGGCCCATCGCCTCCCTGCCACGTGATGCTGGGCAGGCCGTTTTCCAGGGCTGAGCCCAGCTTCCTCATCTTGAAACAGGGGACACCACCCCCTTCATAAAGTGGTGGGGAGGACACAAAGGGACAAGGTACAGAAGTGCTGGGTACAGGCCCAGCTGGGGGGGCACCCCAAGAAAACAGCATTTCAACCATGGGATGGGACCCACTGGTGGGCCGGGAAGTCAGGGTAGCCCGTTCCCATCACTGCTGCCAACCTGCTGATGGGCCAGGGCCTGGCGGGTGCTTCCAGAGCAGCGGCAGTGCCTGCCTCGTGCCAGCTTGAGTGCGTCCTCCCCTGCGCGCCCAGCTTCCGGGCACTGGGCACCCCAAGAGGGGCAGCAGTTCTCACCTCCTGAAGGCGGAGCAGGTGCAAGGGGAGCTCTAGGCAGGACCAAGCCGCGGTCAAACCTCCTGCTCCCCAACCTGGGGAGCGACTGGGCAGGTCAGTGACACCCAGAACCACCACTTCCCATCCAACGGGGTCGCAGACCACGCCCAGGGCACCCACACGACACTGGCCAGGCCTTGCATAGCCACAGCCTCGTGGACTACGATGCATTCACACGTCCACAGCTCCCTAATGCCCAACTAAAGCATGAAACATAAAACACACAACGAGGGTGCTGTGCCATGGCCGTTCTGCTGAATGGACACATGGGGAATGAAGGAAGGAAGGAAGGAAGGAAGGAAGGAAGGAAGGAAGGAAGGAAGGAAGGAGGGAAGGAAGGAGGGAAGGAGGGAGGGAGGGAGGGAGGGAGGGAGGTAAGGAAGGAAGGAAGGAAGATGAGGCTCAGTAAGTGATTTGCCCACTGTCGCACAGCTGGGGGTAGCAGAGAAGGGCACAGACCTGGGCCCAATTTCCCTGCAATGCCCATGGCCAGCAGGCGCCCCAAAGGACAGCACAGTGAGACTCCAGGCCATTTGCCTGGGTCCTGTTGGCTTCCCTGGGAGCCACGGTAAGAAGAGTGACAGACAGCTTAAAAACAAGCTCCTTGGACAGGAAGGCTCAAGGGACCAGGTGTCCGGCCTCCTTCCTGGTACTGCCCTACCCCGTGCCCCATTCTTGCCCCTCCGATCCTGTCCCCGGCCACCCACTGGCCTCTGTGCTCTTCTCGCAAGGTCTCTAGTGTCTCTGGCCACAGGTATGCCTGGCTCAGGTTTTCGGCCCCACGTCCCCAGGTCAACGCCAGGCCATTCCCTAGGCTCAGCCCTAACACTGTTCCTTGGGGCAGCCCCAACCAGGCCAGGCCTCCAGGCCAGGCTCTCAGAGCCCCGTGGCACTCGGCAGAGTCTGTAGGAGCCACCGGTGCCTGCTCCCTGCGGCAGGAGGGCGGGGACCAGGTCGGCCATGTCCACCACCAGAACCCCGGGGGGAGTTGCGTCCAGGGAGCCAGGCCCTGGGGTGGGCGGGGCCCCCACCCTCGCCAGTCAGCAAGGACATGGCGCGGTGCAAGGAGGGCAGGCTGGGGGGCTGGTTGGAACCGGCCCTGCTGTCACCTCAGACAAGTTACTGAACTTCCCTGAGCCTCAGTTTCTCACCCATGAAGTAGGATGAAGATGACTTCAGAGCATGAGTCTGAGGATCCAGCGGGGCAACAGGGGTACACATTTCCCCTGCCCCCCACCCCTACCCGAAATGCTCTTCCCAGAAGCCTCCAGGAGAAACCCTGGCCCTGCGGGGAGGGGTCCCAGAGCAGGAAGGGAGGATCTCAGGCAGCAATACCTGCTGGGTCCCTGCTGTGGGACCCCAGACCTCCCTGCCCGTCCCCTCTTGGCCGTGGAGCTACAGCATGTGCCCCCCACCTCGGGGAGGAGCACCCCCACTCTCCCCAGGAAGCCCGGCTGACAGGACGCAGGGACCCCTGCCTCCTCCGACCAACTACGTCCCAGGGCTCCTCACACCCCAGGCCCAGCAGACACGGTCGGGGATGTCCCCGTGTGCTGCACCCCCCTCCCCAACGCTGCAGTCAGCCCAGGGCCACCTCAGCCACAGGTCTGGCACGGCAGGATACAACTCTGTCTTGTCCCCCTGGGCACCCCAGCCCGGGTCGCTGCCGTGCTCAGACTCTGAGGGACTTGAGAGCCACCTCTCCCTTCCGACCTGGCCCCAACAGCTGGCACCACCAGAGAGGGGGGCCCCTGGCAGGAAGCCTTCAGCTCCAGGGACCCGAATCTCTTGGCTCCAACAACACTGACCGCTCAGGTCATAGCTGAGCAGGGTCTGCACACCTGACCCCGGGCCAGGGGTCTTTTTTGTTGTTAACTTTCTTAACAAGGTATTCACCTATCAATATAGTAAAACAGATTAAAGCAAATTGTTCTTAAAACACATGAGATGAGCTTGGACTGCACGCTCTGGAAGGCTGTTTCCTGCGGGGCTGGTCCCCTCGGTCATGCCCACAGGACTCTGAGCAGCTGCAGGAAACTGCAGGCGCAGACTCCAGGCCCACTTCGCCTCCCCGCCGTGGAAAGGGGACGTACACAATGGGGCAGAGCCCTGTGTTCCCCTACGCTACTTGGACAGGGCCCGGGAGAGTGACCGCCCGAGTATACCCATGTTGGATGGCCCAGAGATCTTGAGAGCTCCAGTCCCAGCCTTTTCCAGTATGTTCCTGGCACATGCACACTGGCAGGCTGGATCAATGGATAACATCAATAATAGCTAATATTTACAGGGTACTTGCTAAGTATCAGGCACCGACCGTCTAAACACACAACATGTATTAATGCATTTCAAACTACAAGTGGGGAAGTATTAAAATTTCCATTTTATAGATGGGACAACTGAGGCCCAGAGAGGTTAAGACATTTGCCCAGAGTCACACAGCAACAGCCTCTATGGCCCACATTACTCGTGTCCCTTGTCACTCTGTGTGGTTCTGATGAAGAACGTGTGCCCCAGCCTGGACCCTGCTCCAGCTTGCCCACGTCGGGTGGAGCTGTGGAGGGAAGGGAGGCTGGGCCCAGAACCACCCACACTCACCAGCACTCGGTCTCCCAGGCGCAGGTCCTTGTCGCCTCGCTTCACAGAGCCGCTGTCCGAGAGGTTGGAGCCCGACTCGTTGCCCGTCTTGACCGAGCTGTTGAGGACACTCTCCCGCAGCGGGATGACGCGGCTGGTCAGCGGGGGTGTGGCCGTGCCCGAATGCAGCGACAGGTTCTGGGCGGTCAGCGACTCCACCGAGTGGGCATCACTGCCCGAGCCCTCGGCCGTGGGCTGCCGTGTGAGCTTGGAGGGCCGCGTGAAGATGCCCTGCAGGGCCGGGCACTCAAAGTAGCGCACGCCGCCCACCGCGCCGTCATTCTTGCCCACCGGGTCGTCCAGCACCACGCCTGCCCACTGGCCCGGCGCGAACTGCGTCTCGCCCAGGTACTGCACCACTCCCGGCTTCACGCCGTTCACCCACACCCGCTCGCCCAGCACGAAGTCCCCCAGGAAGTCATCGCCCACCTCGGCCACCTTCGGGCCCGGCTTCTCGGGGGCAGCAGCTGCAGCCGGGGAGGAGGAGGGGCCCGACGCCTGCTTGTGCAGGGGGGAGCCTGCAGACAGGGAGAGGGAGAGAGGCGGCAGTTAGGGCTGGCGCGGGACCAGGATCCCCGGCACAGAGAAGAGTCAGGGCCAGAAGGTGTCGGATGGGGAAACTGAGGCAGACATGGCTGGCAGTGTGGCCTTCGGCAGGTTATCTCCAGGTCTCTCCTTCCTCTTCCAGCCCCTCTGGAAGGTTCTCAGGAAGGCACCTCCTCAGAAGCAACAGCTGCTTCCCACTGCTCAAGGCCACTCCAAGTCCAGGGCCAGGATGAAGCCACTCTTGAGGAGTACGAGCCACCACTCCCCGCTCTGGTGGGCTCAGGCCCTCCACTGTTAACCCGAGACCACCCGTGGCTCCTATGTGGGACCCAGACAGTGTGTGAGTGGTCTCTGGGACCCCCTCCTCATCCCCAGACAGCTCCAGGCCTTGCAAAAGGCTCCCGACCTGCTCCCTGACAGCCTGGGATGGTCACAGCCACAGACATCTTGGGCAAGGGAGGAGCCAGGAAACCCTCTCATTCCCTTCCGAGCCTCCCCTCTCCCCACCCACAGGCCTCAGGGGGCTGCCCCGGGGCTCCACGGACCCAGGAAAGTGGGAGGGAGGGGCGGGAGGTGGAAGCAGGCATGTAACCCTCGCCACTCCTGGGACTGCACTCTGGACTCTCTGGCCTGACCAGGGCTTAGGGGTCCCCTCACCCAGGCCCTCCCTATAAGAAGAATGACTCTGAGGCCGGGCGCAGTGGCTCATGTCTATAATCCTAGCGCTCTGGGAGGCCGAGGTGGGAGGACTGCTTGAGCTCAGGAGTTCGAGACCAACCTGAGCCAGAGCAAGACCCCATCTCTACTAAAAATAAAAAAAATTAGCCAGGTGTGGTGGTGCGCACCTACCCAGCTACGTGGGAGGCTTAGGCAGGAGGATCACTTGAGCCCAGGAGTTTGAGACCAGCATGGGCAATATAGCTAGACCCCATCTCTACAAAAAATAAAAAACTAGCCAGGTGTGGTGGTGTGCACCTGTAGTCCCAGGTACTTGAGAGGCTGAGGCAGGAGGATCGCTTGAGCCCACAAATTTGAGGCACTAGTGAGCTATGATGACACCACTGCACTCTACCTAGGGCAACAGAGTGAGACTCTGTCTCAAAAAAAAAAAATGACTCTAAGGCCCAGAGAGGCAAGGGGCTTGCCCAAGGACACACAGCACAAATGGACTCAAACCCACGGAAGGGCTGCCTCCCAGGCCTGGGCCCTGATGTGCTACAGATACAGAAGGAAGGCAGGCGACTTGCTCAAGGTCACTCACAGAACCACAAAGCAGGGCTTGCACCCTTGTGAACGTGTGTGTGTGTCAGGCTCCTGACTTGACTGCAGCTTGGGTCCTGGTCCCCACGCAGGGCCTGCCGAATCTTCCCACTTGGCCTCCCTGTCCCGGGCTGCCCGTCCACCTGCACCTCTAGCTGTTGGGGCTGCCCCCGCTTCTTGCCAGACCCAGCACCAGGCAGAGAATCCTCCACTCCAGAGGCTGTCCAGCCTGACACGCCACGGCGACCATGCGCAAGCAGATGCCTCCACGCCTCGCTTCTGCTCCTCTCCCAGGAGGCCAGTGGAGGGGCTGCAGGGCAGCGGCCCCCACCAGCAGCCTCTGAGCCCCAGGCCCGGCCGGATGCCCTCGCAGGGGCCCCATCCAGCCACTGTCCCACTGGAAGCACACTCTCGAGCACAGAGCTTCAGGGGTGCAAGCACAGGGCCCTCCCCCTGGGGGCACTGGCAGTGGTGGCGGAAGCGCGTGGCCACCCAGGGCCTGGGCATTAGGGCAGGCCCTGACTGTGGGGTGGGGCTCCCTCCCGCTTGTGAGCTCGGCTCCGGGAAGATCGATGGGCTTTGCTGCTGCACTTTATTAACAACACAGTGATCACACCCCTGCCCCGAGCCTCTGCGCCAACAGCTCCACGCAGCAGCCCACCCGATCCCCGAGCATGGCAGGCGCTTTACCTGGGCTCCCAGACAGCAGGCAGCAAAGCCAAGCTCTGGCCAAAGGCCTCTGCCCTGGGTGCGGGACACTTCATCTGACAAATGTGCACCAAGCCCTTGCCATGCCAAGCCCATTCTACGGTCACCCCAAATCTCAGACTCCCCTGAAGGGACGAGTTTCTTAGAATCTGCCCAAACCCTAAAGCCCCCTGCGAGCAAGGAACGATCTTGTCTTTACTCCTGCCTGCACGAGGGTGCCCCGGTCTCTCCTGTTTAGAGAAGAGTCCTGGGGGTGACGCCCAAGGCTCTTCTCCTCCTCTGCGATCTCAGGAGGCCGGGGCTGCAGCAGTCTGAGCTCGGACCCCATCTCCTCCCGGGCCTGCTCCACCCCCGCTCCGTCCGGCCACGTGCACCTGGGGAGGTTACTTAATGCCTCAAAGCCTCCATTTCCTTCCGCACCTTTGTCATAGGGTTGCTCTAGGACAACAGACAGGACGTGCTTGGACCAGTGCGTGGCCCATACAAATGAACAAAGAAAATACCATTCCTGATATTTTGATGAGAATGATTTACGTTCAAACTAAGGGATTTGAGAAAAGTTAAAAACACAAGGCCCAGGAGTTGGACGAAGGACTTCTAGCAGGTTCTGGTAACCTCAGGCAAGCTGCCCTGCCCCTCACTAAAATGAGGAGGGTGGATGGGCCCCCGCAGCTGTGAAACCAGAAGTGGGCGCGCTTGGCTCCTGCAGACCTTGTCATTCTGGTTCCCTGCACCTGGGCAGAGCTCCCGGGAGTCCACGGCTCTGATCTAGGACAATCCTGTATTCCAAGCAGCTTCTGCTGGGACCGTGCCAGTAACGGAACTGGGAAGCCACACACACACACGCATACGCCCCCTGGCCCACGGTGGCTGTCTGCCTCAATTCCTCCCGCCAGGGTCGGCTGGCCCCTTCCTTAGGAAGCTGCTCTGAAAAGGGGGAGGAAGCTACAGATGAGATGGTGCCCGGGCCCAGGCCCTCGTCACCCTGCCCAAGGAGCCAGTGGGTCCCATCACCACCAACACAGGTTAACATTATTATTAAAATAGCAGCTGCATTTACTAAGTGCCAACTGCATGCCCCCTAATGGTCTGGGCACTTTTGACACACTATATTCTTACCCTGCAGATTAGGAAACTTGCCCAGGTCACCCAGGTGAGTGGGGCCCAGCTGGTCTGGCTCTGAGCCCTCCCTCTCGGCTAAGCACAGGAGGTGACCGGCAGACATCGGCTCCCCGCCCATACTCGTTTCTAGAACACTTGCCCACACAGGGAGGCTCCATGACCACTGCCAACTGTAGCCCAGGTAAGAGCCTGTTTCTACCTGTCCTCTTTGCTCAGAGCACAGACGAGGGTCCCCAGGTTGAAGGGGACCCCGCGTGGCTATTCTTGGCAGGAAGCTGCCCGCTCAGCTGTCCTCCTCTCCAGCTGTCCCAGCCCAGGCAGACCCTCAGGTAATCTCTCCCCGACCCCTGCCCCTTCCAGGGGTCACAGGCCCAGGGACCAGTTGTTTCAACAGCTGCTAAAATCCAGGTCGCAAGCCCGTGGCAACTGCACACGGGGGCTTTGTTTCATTTCTCGTCTTTGTAGTGGTAATCCGGCTGCCCCAGCATCCCTGGGATAAACCCCTCATCAAATTACCCACACACACTGGGAAGTTTTCAGCTGCCCAAGGCTGGGAGAGCATGGAAAACCCCTTCACTCCAGGGAGTCAATAGCAGCATGCTGGCTAGACCTGGCTAAGCCCCTTCCCGTATCTGTGCCTCGGTTTCCCTGTGAAACAACAAAGGACTGTGTCAGAAACAGCTAGGTCTTGGCCGGCACTGACATTCTACATGTCCTGCCTCTTCTCCCAGGGGGGCTGGTGTATATGTATCAGAGTTTTCCAGACCTGGCTGATGGGCTGGCCCTCATCCCACCCCTCACCGGCCGGTCTAAGGCAGGCTGGCTGGGAGCTCCCTGTGGGCAAGGCCTGGGCCCCACCTCCCTCCAAGCTCCTCAGCAAAGCCCCACAACTCCCAGCCAGACCCAGTGATGTAGACTTAAGCTTCATACAGGCAGTTGACTCCTTCTCTAGAGAGTGGTTCCTGCCCAGACGAGAGGCACGGAGAATCTACTACAGGTTTCAAGTTCAAAGAGGAACTTTAATGAAAAAGGCCTAAGGTCAGGCATGGTGGCTCACACCTGTAATCCCAGCATTTCGGGAGGCCAAGGTATGAGGATCACTTGAGCCCAGGAGTTTGAGACCAACCTGGGCAACATATCAAGACCCCTCTACAGAAAAATTTAAAAGTTAGCCAGGCATGCCTGTAGTCCTAGCTACTCCAGAGGCTGAGGCAGGAGGAATGCTTGAGCCCAGGAGTTGAGGCTGCAGTGAGCTATGATCTGGGCCACTGCACTCAAACCTGGGGGACAGAGCAAGACCTCATCTCTTAAAAAAAGAAAAAGAGGTGGGGTGCAGTGGCTCACACCTGTAATCCTAGCACTCTGGGAGGCCGAGGCAGGAGGATCACTTAGCTGAGGAGTTCGAGACCAGCCTAAGCAAAAGCGAGACCCCGTCTCTACTAAAAATAGAAAAATTAGCCAGGCGGGGTGGCGAGCACCTATAGTCCCAGCTACTGGGGAGGCTGAGGCAGGAGGATTGCTTGAGCCCTGAGTCTGAGGCTGGAGTGAGCTACGATGATGCCACTGCACTCTACCTGGGGCGACAGAGCAAGACTCTGTCACACGCACACACAAATGTTCATTACATAGATCATTCATGCCCACTGCAGAAAAATTAGAAAACACAGATTATCGGTTTTTTTTCAAAAAGTATCATACAAACACAATCACAGCTAGCACCTTAGAGCATGCTTCTCCAGGTTTCATTCTGTGCGTGCACATGCAAATACACGCTGGGTACTTGAAAAACAAAAACACAAGTAGGACTGTATTCAGGTATCACTAAATAGGTATCCCCTCTCCTCTCGCAGTGGAGAACATGTGACAAGGCGGCGTCTAGAAG